TGATCGCATCAGCTGCCATGGTGCGCGTCGCTATTTATTTTGTGTCGATGCTGGCCAAGAATTCTAGATACTAGTAGTTTTTTTTTTCGTGCAATTTGAAAATTTAGTAGTAAATCAACAGTGTCATAAATACACTCTGAATTTTGAATCCGTCAGAATTCTTCTATTTCTTCTATTATGACTGTTACACCTGCAGGAGAGTGTGTAAAAATAAGTTTATGCATATTTTGCATAAGCTTCTCTGCACAAATCACTGCGAAAACCCATTTTTTTGACCCAGCTTTTGTTTATATTTGTATATTTTTTTAAATGTTATGTCTGTTTTTTCCAAGTTACGATAATTTAATTTCAGAACTACAGTGTCCAGTAGCTGGTATTTGGCAGCGCTGTCGCTGTCTTGCGCAAACGCGGAGGCGTCGATTCTACTGTCATATCCTCTTGTGTCCTCATACAAGGAATATCATATTAACTTCGCAGCTTAATAAATGCTAGCATAGTCACGGAGTGTATTAAAAGACAGCTCGTTGTGATTGTTTCTTTTACCTTTTTATAGTGATTTTTCGACCCATTTATAAGTCAAACGATCTGCAGTCACCTGAAGCTAAGTGCAGATTATCTTTCGACGAATGGGTCGAAAAACCATCATAACGAGTTAAATGAAACAACAGCTGGAGTTGTTTGCTATAATTTCGTGACAGCTTTTAACAAAAACGCGTAAGTGCGTTAAACATCTGATTCGTGCTGCTACTTAATTATGTCTGTTGATCGAATCCCAGACTAATATTATAGCTTCAGAAGGGGGAGTGGCTAATAATTCAAAGTTTTTTTCGTTATTTGATGGAGCAATAAATTCTTCTTGCATGCACTAGTACATCCATTTGCAATCACAAAATGAATTGCTAGAGCGTTAAATACCAGGAAATTAATAAATTACTTTTTTGTAAGACATGCGTCTACACGTAAGGTGTCCGGTATCTCCCAGCGATCTTGGTAATCTTAATTTTTTTCTTGAAAATTTGAGGCTGAACTAAAGTGAAGTCCTCTTCACAGTAGGTGGTAATTTCATTTAAGAAGCACTAAAGCAATTTTGATACACTGCGATCAACCTAAGTGCAATTAGATACAGTGTCCGGAAAAAGTCTTTGTTTTTTTTTTCAGAATGGCAGTGAAATTAGTAACAACCTGTTGTATATGTGCTGTAATTCTGGTCGAGCTAAGCACTGCACTTCTGATAACACCCCTGCCAAGAAGTCATGAGGAATATATGGATCGAATGAAGGAATTGCTTCGATCGCAGCCGCAGCAATTATTCGAGCCAGAAATTGAACAGGACTTGATCGGCGATCGGACTGCAAATTTGTTGAGGTATGCACGTCAGGGAGCTTAATACGGTACCGGGCATTAAAGCTCCAAATGCACTCCGAATAGAACCTCTTTTTGCGAGAGATTTTGTCGAGTGGTGAAAAAATTTCACATCTTCATCATCATGATCTCATAAATCTCTAATTGCAGAGGATGCTAAGACACAGTCAAAACGGAAGGAAATAATAAGAAAATTAATTAGCCGGAAGAGTTAAGAAGTTGAGATAAGACTGAGATAAAAAGTTTTGGCCCATAAAGGTGTGAACGTCTTAGCTCACCACAGCAAATGGACCTTGTTAGCAAGATAGTGTAAGTAATAATGATTTTTCCAGATGTTAAAAAACTCCTGAAATAAAGTTAATACCTTGATGACTTTTGGACTTAGTAACATATTTTTTGTTAAGAACCATTGTTTTTCATTTATCTTTCTCGAGTCTTGTCTTCCTTTTTTTTTATTTTTTGCTCTTGGGTCAAATCTTTCTTGGTTTCCATCCTCGGTTTACAAAACTGGACGATGCCTAGCAATTACTTTTTGGTCTAGGAATACAAGTGGAATAGCGGCCATCTGTAGTTATAGTAAGAATGGATGAAGCTTTCGTAGTTCGTCTGAGCAGAGCTAGCGATATTCATTTTTATCCTGAAATAAGCCTTTTCACGGAATACCAAGACTGCCCGGGCTGTTTGTGTTGTCATTCCATGTTGATGATTTTATTCGGATACTCATAAACGCCAGTTGCAGCTGTGCCAAACTCTTCTGTCCTTGGCTACATGTCTCCAGTTACCCGCCGCTTATTCAGTCTATGTGGGCCAACTCTTATTTTATAAAAAAGTTTGCCAAAGGAGCGAATCATGTTGAAACCGAACT